TCTCTATCCCGTAATGGATATGGGAGTTAATTTGATAGTGGATATTGGGGTGGGGGAGTCAGTTGTTCACTAGAGTTGTAGCCAGCAGGAAAGTATTTTGCTTTTCACTAGTTAGGGTGGGTTTTGCTTTTTAGTAAGCACATATCTTCTTGACTCTTTGGTTCTGGGAGACCTTTTGTGTCAGGTTGGTGACTTGCTTTCATCTCTCTTGGAAACCCATGCAATTTTCTGTAATCTCTCCTCACTTCAAGAAGAGGGAGACAAACCATAAGAGACTCTTAATCTCAGGAAACAAACTGAGGGTTGCTGGAGTGGTGGGGGGTGGGAGGGATGGGGTGGTTGGGTGATGGACATCGGGGAGGGTATGTGCTATGGTGAGCACTGTGAATTGTGTAAGATTGATGAATCACAGACTTGTACCCCTGAAACAAATAATACATTATATGTTAATAAAAAAAAAAGAATTTTGGGCACCTGGGTGGCTCAGTTGGTTAAGCGACTGCCTTCGGCTCAGGTCATGATCCTGGAGTCCCGGGATCGAGTCCCGCATCGGGCTTCCTGCTCAGCGGGGAGTCTGCTTCTCCCTCTGACCCTCTTCCCTCTCGTGCTTTCTATCTCTCATTCTCTCTCTCTCTCAAATAAATAAATAAAATCTTTAAAAAAAAAAGAATTTTGGTTTCAAAGATAGAGTGAGGGTTTTTTGGTGTGTGTTTGTGGTGTGTGTGTGTGTGTGTGTGTGTGTGTGTGTGTTTAATATCTTTATTTCCCAATGGGAAAAGGTTATGGTTTTCTAAGTTGCTTACTGGGGAATACAAAAGTGAAACAAAGTGATTGTTTTTCTTAACATTGGGTTTATATGCTGCTGCTAAGAACTTTGGAATTTTGGATGGACTTAGTTCCTTTAGCCTATTAACCAGTGTATGGCCTATATTTTGAAACTCGCTTTGGCATACAAATCTGGATTTTTGCCAAAATAAAAAAATATGTTTGTCAATGTATAAATCTTGCTGTGTAGGCTAAAGTTGGATGACTTAAAATTAGAATCAATTGTTATCTGAAAGAAAATGCAAGAAATATAGCAATATTTATTGCCTGCTGTGCACTGGCATCTTTGCATCATTAGGATCTTAAATCTAAAAAGAACTGTTAGCTAATTCAAAACTTTTGACGTGTTTAATGTACAGGTTTAATAGTTTAGACACTTTTACTAACTCCCTACATCGTCAAAAAACAGATTTAGGAGAACGTCAGTATATTTTTTTTTCATTTCAAGAGAACAGAATATTAACTAAAATTGCTAAAAACAAGGTTAAAAATATGATACAGTCAAACAATCATGTCATCATTTAAGTCTCTTTTGTAACTTTAATTTGAAACTTTTATTTTTATTTATTTATTTATTTTTAAAAAAGATTTTATTTATTTGACAGAGAAAGACACAGCGAGAGAGGGAACACAAGCAGGGGGAGTGGGAGAGGGAGAATCAGGCTCCCCGCAGAGCAGGGAGCCTGACGTGGGGTTCAATCCCAGGACCCTGGGATCATGACCCGAGCCCAAGGCAGACGCTTTAATGACTGAGCCACCTGGGGGCCCCTAATCTGAAACTTTTAAGTAAATCAAATCTTACTTGGTAAAACAGGGCTTTATTTCTCAATTGTCTGACCTCTATGATCCATAGGATTTGCTACTGAGCAGATAGGAGGGTTTGCATATATTCTTTTTTTTTTTTTTTAAAATTTTATTTATTTTTTTGAGAGAGAGAGAGAGAATGAGAGAGAAAGCACATGCGATGGGGGGAGGGTCAGAGGGAGAAGCAGACTCCCTGCCGAGCAGGGAGCCCGATGCGGGACTCGATCCAGGGACTCCAGGATCATGACCTGAGCCGAAGGCAGTCGCTTAACCAACTGAGCCATCCAGGCGCCCGGTTTGCATATATTCTAAAATGGAGATCTGTATTCAGTGGTTTTCTTACCTGCAGACAGAGAATATCTACTGCCTTTTGATCATTGCACTGCAGTTTACTATTTAAAATAAGTGTAAAATAAAAGCAGTTAGTACCAGCTTTATTGATGTACTTAAAAAAAGCAGATATCCATATACTTGAGTGTATAATATTTAAACTATACAGGAAAACTGTACTAATTCAAAGTTAAAGTGTTTTTTGTTTTAATTAAGTAAAAGGTGACAGAATGCCATTATTGAATATTAATTCATTAATGTAGAGCCTATGTTCTAATTAGAGTATATGTTCAAATCTTGATAAGGCTTGGTTAGATAAGAACTTTGCTTAATGCAGAAAGATTTATTATCCTTTTTTCCCTCGTAGTTCATCAAAAAACATCTTTAATTTTCAAATGACTTTAGAGTGAGAGTATTTTAATATTTGTAGGGGGTTAGCATATATTACATATTATGAAGATGTTTGAGAGCATGAACTGATTATCTAATTAGTACCGTGTTCTTTCACTGTAATACTGTTCTAAGAGTACAAATAATAATAGCTAATATGTATTTCACATACTGTGCACCAAGTACCATTCTAAGTGCTTTGCACATATTTATTTAATTCTTCTAAGAACAGTTACTACAATTATTACCATCCCTGAAAGGCCTTCGAAGTGTTTAGTCCACCATACTACTAGAAGTAGATGTCCCAACTCTTTGTGTTTCTACTAAAAAAACTCTCATACCTTTCCTTTCCCCAAAACAATTGCTTCCGTTTCAAATTAGTGCTACCCAATATTCAATCTAATGAGAAGTACGTTATTTGAAGTTGTAATGGTAAACGTCTGAAAAGCCAGAAAGCAGAAGCCTAAAACAAGTGATTACTTTTGGAGGGGTGGAAGAATCTGGATAAGTTCTCTAAATATCGGTATTCCAAAAATGAACTCCAGTCTCTGGAAGAATAATAATACTGCCAAAGCTCTTTGATTTAAATCTTAAATAGTTTAGTTGTTTATTTATATAAATAACAAAAACCTTTTGGTATGAAAAATGAAAGCTAAATTAGTAAATATCTTAACTGAGAATAGTGTTACAGAAAATTATTCCTTTTTTTATTTAAAGGGGAATTGTGGTTTATAAATTAGAAATTACTAGTATTTCAGTAGTCAGATATAACAAAAAATAGTACCTTTTGCTTTTGGATGCAGTATTTTAGAATGCTATTTTTAGAATGCTTTTATCTTTCATTTATATTCATTTCCAACACCAAATTTCCCTCTTCCTACTCCATTCTGTTGCCTACATATCTTAAATAAGTAGGTACAGTTCATGTTAATTGAACATTTAAACATTTTTCTTAGAAGGAAAATTCTGATTTGGACCACATGATTTATATTTAGCAGTGAATTTTGCAATAATTTTCAACACTTAGGATTATAAAAATTCTGTATTCCCTTAAAAAAACTTTGTTAATGATAGAGCAAGCAAATATGATATCTGTAGTTCGAAAAAAACATTCTGAACTTTCCAGAGTGTCAGCTGTGCCCATATAGTGTGTATGTAACATGGGGCTTACGTATGAGTAAATAAGTAGCAGAAACAGTTTTTATGGAAGCAATATTCAGAGTACTTAAAGTTAGTGGAAATACATGAAAAATTAAAACACAATCACATTGGGAGTAATGGAGGAATGGAGTGAAAAAGGTTATCTTACCGCTTTTTCAATTTCTGCAGGCTTCCAGATGGTAGGAAATGCTTTGTTCTTCCCTCCAGCCCATCTGTTGTTCTTTAGCATAACTGACATCAGCACAACTACTGCAACTATTAAGTGTCACCCTATAAAAATGGCAGAATTTAGAACTTATTACACAGTTCTATGGAAAGAAGATTATAAGAATCAAAGTTATAGTTTGTTGAAAGATTCGCTCTTTTATTTTTTATTGTTTAGTGTGTGTGGCATAATGGTGTGATAGAAGTAATGCCCAGGAATGACGTACTTGAGATTAGAACAGATTTCTCTTACTTGAGATGGTGTAGACAATTATTCATGACTTAGAATTAAACATAGGGATTTCTATGTGTTTCATGGGAATGAATTACTTATTGAGTAAGGGCTATAGTATATGTGATTTGCTAAACCTATGCATTTGTTTTATTACCTTTTTCCCCCCAGACTATTGTATTTTTGCCAGAAATGGAAATGTATATTACTGTTTTCTACACAAAAGTTACTTTTCAAAATTTTATTTATGTATTTTTTAGAGAGGGAAAGGGGAGGGAGGGCAGAGGGAGAGGGAAAGAGAGAATCTTAAGCATGGAGCCTGTCAGAGGGCTAGAGCTCACAAGCCTGAGATCATTACCTGAGCCAAAATCAAGAGTCAGATGCTTAACTGACTGAGCCACCCAGGTGCCCCTCACAAAAATTACTTTTAGAAAAATAGTTATAATAATAATTATTTGTGCCCGTTTTAGTTCAGCAAGTATACCATTTTTGTAGTTTAAACATTTTTAATTTTTAATTAATTAATTAATTTTTAGAGGGAGAGGGAGAATCTTAAGCAGGTTCCATGCCATGTGGAACCTGATTCAGGGCTTGATCTCACAACCCTGAGATCTTGACCTGAGCCAAAATCAAGAGTCAGACGCTTAACCAACTGAATCACCCAGGCACCCCTAAATATATATTTTTTTTTTATGGGTCACTGAGGCCTTTTTATTCTGCACACAAAACCACTGGGGATTTCGCTGTGGACACCTCAAGATTATAAAGTAGACAGACGTGACTCCAGACACTGGGTGGAAGTGAGGTGAGAAAACAATGACTTGGGCCAATGACACGATTACAGAGTTAGGGTTTCCAGCAGGGTTCCAGACGGTGAAGTTTGGCTTCTGCAGCAGTTCTAAGGAAGCAGTGAGAACATCACAGGGAGGGGAGGGGGCAGTTAACTCGCAGGGTCCCCGGCCAGTTTCGGCTGGGGGCCTCGAGCTGCCCGAGGGGAGCAGAGGTCTAATGAGCCGACTCAGGACCGCAGGACTCGGGGTGCGCTGCCTGGAGCTTACTTGGCCAGGGGGTTTCTGAAGTTTCTGCCGGCGAACTTAGCCTTGCTACCCCGTTCCTCTTCAATTCTGAGGATCTGGTTGTACTTGGCCAAGCGCTCAGATCGGCAAGGTGCCCCTGTCTTGATATGCCCAGTGCAAAGTCCCACCACCAGGTCAGCGATGAAGGTATCTTCAGTCTCCCCAGAGCGATGCGACACCATGACGCCCCAGCCATTGGACTGGGCCAGCTTGCATGCCTGGAGAGACTCGGTCACGAAGCCGATCTGGTTCACTTTCTGCAGGAGGCAGTTGCACGATTTCTCGCCCATGGCCTTGGAGATCCGTTTCGGGTTGGTCACAGTGAGATCATCCCCCACCACCTGGATGCCGGCAGTGGCAGTGAACTTCTGCCAAGCTTCCCAGTCATCCTGGTAAAGGGGTCCTCGATAGACACCACTGGGTAGTCCTTGATGAAGGACTTGTACAGGTTGGCCAGCTCATCAGGCGTGATGTACCTGCTCGGGTCATTGGGGGACTTGAAGTCCAGGTCATACTTGCCCGACCTGAAGAACTCAGAAGCAGCTACGTCCATGCCGATGACCACCTTGTCGGTGTAGCCGGCTTTCCCAATGGCGTTCTTTAGCAGCTCCAGAGCTTCTTTGTTCTCCAGGATGTTAGGCGCAAAGCCGCCTTCATCCCCCACATTGGTGGCATCTTTTCCGTATTTCTTCTTGATGACATTCTTCAGGTTGTGGTAAACCTCGGCTCCGATGCGCATGGCTTCCCTGAAGTTGGCCGCACCAACGGGCAGGATCATGAACTCCTGCATGGCCAGCTTGTTGCCAGCATGAGAACCACCGTTGATGACGTTGAAAGCCGGAACCGGCAGGATGACTTCAGTATTGCCAGCCAAGTCAGCAATGTGCTGGTACAGGGGCACCCCCTTTTCCACGGCCCCCGCCTTGCAGACAGCCAGGGACACACCCAGGATGGCGTTTGCACCAAATTTAGATTTATTTTCTGTCCCATCCATCTCGATCATCAGTCTATCAATCTTCTCCTGCTCCACGACGTTCAGTTTCTTGCTAATCAGGGCAGGTGCAATAGTTTTATTGATGTGCTCAACAGCCTTTGAGACACCTTTCCCCATGTAGTGGGTCTTGTCATTGTCCCGGAGCTCGAGGGCCTCGTAGATACCAGTTGAGGCACCACTGGGCACAGCAGCTCTGAAGAGACCTTTGGAGGTGTAGAGGTCAACTTCAACGGTGGGATTCCCACGAGAGTCAAAAATCTCTCTGGCGTGGATCTTGAGAATAGACATGGTGACTT